AGCAGGATGACTAGTTAGCTGGATGAAGAGAATGCAGTGGATATAGTGTATCTGGACTTCAGCACAGCAAGACTTTTGACAAAGTCCCACACGACCTTCTCATAAATAAATTGGAGAAATGTGGGCTACACAGAGATATCATAAGGTAGATACACAACTGGCTCAATAGCTACAAGCAAAGGTTAATTGTTAACGAATATATATCAGAATGGCAGGAGATTTCAAGTGGAGTTCCACAGAGGTCTGTCTGGGCCCAGTGCTATTCAACATTATTATTATCAATGCACATGCTGGAATAGAGAGCTTCTTGAGCAAATCTGCAGACAACATGAAACTTGGAAAGACTGTGAACACCCGGAGGGCAGAAATGCAATTTGGAAGGATTTGGACAGACTGGAAAGCTGGCCTGGGGCCAAAGGGATGAAGTTCAATGCTGGCAAATGCAAGGTGCTACACCTCAGGAAGAATAATAAAAAACACAAATATAAAATAGGTGACACCTGGCTGGATGGCAGCACTATAGAGAAGGATTTAAGAGTTTTCATAGATCACAACCTCAGCATGAGTCTTGTACAGCTACATCACACTAAAGACAAAGGCAGTTTTGGAATGCATCAATAGAGGCATTAGGTGTAAAACACAGGAGGTGATAGTACCTCTTTACTCACACTGCTTAGGCTCATCTAGAGTACTGGCTCCACATTTTTTAAAAATGGAAAAGTTACAGAGGGTCTAGAAATGGGTGACAAAATGATTAAGGGCTTGAAAAGCAAGCCATACAAGGAGAGGTTGAAGGAAACAGGCATGTTCAGCTTGCAGAAAAGGCAATTAAGAGGGGACATGATAGCACTCTTCAAATATCTGAAATGCTGCTATAAAGAGGGAAAATCAACTTTCCTCTCTTGCTGCAGAGAGTAAGATGCAGAGCGTGAGGTTACAGCAAAGTATGTTTAGATTGGATATCAGGAAAAACTTCTTCACTGTCAGAATACCAAGGCAGTGGAATAGACTGCATAGCAAAGCTGTGGAAAATCCAAATTTGGAGGTGTTGAAGAAGGGTTGGACAAGCACTAGTCAGAGATGATCTAGGAGTATCTAAGCCTATGTTCTACAACTGGTATTTCCCATGTTTCTGGGTTTTGCTGGGTGCCACATGGGGCTGTGAAGGGATTCTTTTCCCTCTCCTGCTGTTACATGCATCAGGGAGTGCGGCAGGATTTACCCTCCTCAGAAGCCCTGGGGGTTGCTTGCAGCTAAGACTTGGGATTTTGACTGGGGTGTTGCAATCCTCCTGCTAGGACTAAAACCCAGAGGTTCCAGGCTAGGTCTTGCCCTTTGACTCAGGATCAGACTGATCACCATATTTGGTATCAAGAAGGAATCTGCATCCCATGGTGAGACTGGTACAGACTGTGGGGAGTTTTGCCTTCCTCTGTAGTGAAGGGGTGGGAAGGCAGGGGGAAGTGGGGCTGGCTCTTGAAATCCTTCTTACTGGGATCTCTCAAGCATAATTTAAAAAAAACCTTTGTAGTTGCAGGACATTGGCTACTCTTGTCCCCCTGCTTTACCTGTGGCAGATTAGGATATTACTTTTTATGGTTGTGTAGGGGTTGACTCTGTAGTTTTAGTAATAGGTTAGACAATGGATTTGTATATACTGATTTGGATAGGGATGATTCTGCCTCTGGCTCTGGAGGTCCCTTACAGCCCTACTTTTCTATAATTCAATATATAACTACAAGGTGAAAAGAGAAGACAACTCCTGAAGCAGGAGATAGGAGGTTGGAAAGAAAGATTTAACTTGGAGGGAAGCAAAGAAGCCAACTCTCTAGCACTCTTTC